ATAGCAGCAAATAGGGATTGTCACACTGATAGCAAATGTGAAGGGAAATGAAAAAGGGATTTGATGTTTCATTGTCCTTTCCTTTGCATCCATCAGTTTTTTTGAAATCAAAGCATTACCACCTTTCTAAATATAATATCAGTAAAAGCAGATGAGGTTTGTGACACACAAAATAAAAGAAGAGAAACCTCAGGAAATGCCCCATGGACAAGGCTGAATAAGATAGTTCAATCTATCTTTATAGAAAATAATTTGTGTTTGCAGACATCACTGATACTTTTTTTGAACAGAAAAGGTGAGGCACATCACATTTAGATTTAAATGTGCCACAGAAAAAAAATGCAAAAAAACATATTTTATTGCTGTTACTTTCCCTCTTGCTACTCACCAGTTATTCAACCTTTGTAATGGGAACTTCTGAAGTGCTGTTTGTGACAATTTGCTTACGTAAGTACATTAGTAATATCTGCACTTAACATTCTCTGGGGTAAACTTAACCTTATTCTGTCTGAAGTTGACTGGTGTGAGCAAAGCCAGGTAATGCTGCTGGAAGGCATAGCAGGCAATGAGAAGCAGGGGTAGTGAGTTCAGTGAAGCATGACTACTTACACCAGCCCTAACTGCACTTAGGAAATGCTTCTTCATCTTCTGTGGAAACACAGATTTCAGAAGAACATTATAGTACAATCAACAGTGATATGCCCAGAATTCACAGAACCTCAGTCTGTGTTCCATGAACATGAATCTACCATATTTAATGGTGTCTATGTGTGTTTATGAAAATAAGATGATCAGTAACTTAGTAAGCAACACTAACAGTTCATTCCTGTTTCTCATGTTATTTTGATAGTTTTTTAACTTCAGAATTCTGAGAACTAAAAATGCATTTCTGAAACAATGTACAGGTTTTCACTGCCAAAGCACCTCTATCTGGCATTTAAAATATCTGACATTTTTATCTGGCTTCAGATATAAAATCTGATTTTATCCATTTTTTTTAACTCTAAACTTGGCAATAAAAGAACTGTATTCATTATTAACAAATCACAACATCTGGTCATTGCTGAATATATACATGTACACGTACACCTGTAATTACTGCTAATGTACTGCAAGGAAAGGAGAAGCACATTATCTGAAACATATTCTCTAGAACATCCTCATACATTTATGTCACTCATTTTCTTTCTATCAATTTCTTATGTTTCTCAAATAGGAAGGAATTAAAAATTTAGCTTCTTAGTGTTCTAAAGTGATTAAGATCATAATTCGAACCTGGTCGTCATAGCTACTTAGCTATGATTGCAAGGACTCCTAGAGAGAAATGAGACATTCACTATGTATTGCATAACTTACAACACCATCTTTGTTGGTCCCGGAGGCCCAACATTAGAGTAACATTAGTTATTAGAGCAGGCCACCATCAGTGTATCCTGTGCTTTGGATTTCTACCCTAAGTTACTGAAGATACAGGAGGGTGTCAACTTGAATTTCTGCAAGAGTGATGTTAAGTCGTCCGTGAGAAAGGAGGTTATGTTCGCTGCTGACTTCAATGAGATTTGTATTAAGACTTGATTTATTCAGGAGTTATTTAGTGAAATGGGGAGGCAGCCATTTCAAAGCCATCTGTAAAAACAAGCAGCTAAATCTAGAATACTTAGAGTGGATAGCTTCTACAAAATAAGAGCCTGGAAAAGTAGGAAGAGCTTCCTAGCAAGGGTAACACTGAGATATGCTACAGTGATTACAGTTTGAACTGGAAAAATAGGGAAACACACAGCAGAGATTTTCTGGTATCACTTCAACCTATGCCAGTCTGTACAATGACATCAGCTGATAAATCTATAAATTTTGGTTCTACTTCCACAGGATTCTTCTCACTCTAAAATCATCAAAATCTCTACACCATTCTCCATTATTCGGTCGTTACATGATCTGTGCCTCCAGTGTTGAAACTAGTGTATTTATTTGTAATAAACAAGCAAACAAACAAATATAAATAAAATTACACAGCCTTTCTCTGATATTCTCAACCACTTTTGTGATTTTTTTTACATGTTTTAACATTGTATTTTTTTTTTTACTGCAATCAGTTTTTATAAAATTCATAATTTTTGAAAAAAATACCTATTCTCCAATGCCAATTAAAAATGAGGTTTTCTTGCACGCTTTTTATGTGATCAACAACTTCAAATAAGGATTGTACATACAAGTTGAAGCTTATAGAGACCTTTTTTTTCCTTTTTGCCTAAATCTAAGAAAATCTTTCAGAATATTAAAAAAAAAATTGACTTGTATTATTTCATTTTAAAGAAAGCTGACAAATATTTAAAAATACTTTAAAGAACAACAACAAAAACAAGAAAAAAGAATAAGAAAAAACAGAGAAAAAACACTTTAGTTTTCATAGGACAGAGAGAAATAAATCTGGATTATTTTTTCCTGAATAGTAACAAAAAGAAATGGAAAAAAACCCACAATCTGATTATTTCTATTGCTTATACAAGTTACTTGCTGTCTCAACATAAGAGTAGGGTTATATGTATTTGGTTCATTTAATACCCTTTCTTTCCTTTGAATTTAAGCTAGTTTCTTCCCTTTATGTAAATATTTTCATTACAGATGCAAATCTGATATTAGATACTAGATAGCTCACCTTTGCACAAAATTATGATTTTTGAACATGATGCAAGAAGCACTCTACCTACTGCACCTTCTTCTATGGCTTATAGGGATTAACTCCAGCATTCTCTGTGTCTCCAGAGGGAATCATACAATCACAGAATGGCTTGGTTTGGAAGGGACTCAAAGGATTATGTTCCAATCCCCTACCATTGGCAAAGTTACCAAATTCCATATCTGATACTAGACCAGTTTACCCAGGGCCCCATCCAGCCTGTTCTAAGCACATCCAAGAGTGGAGCTTCCGCAGCCTCTCAGGGAAGACTGTTCCAGGACCTCACCCTTCCTCTGTGAACAACTACCTGTGACGACCAATTTAAACCTTCCATCCTTGAGCTTAAAACAATTCCCCCTTTTTCCATCACTATCTACCCGAGTAAATGTTGATTCCTCTCCTGTTTGTAATCCCCTTTTAAATACTAGAAGGCTGCAATGAGAGAAGGCTTGCAGCCTTCTCTTCTTCAGGTTGAGTGAGCCTAGCTCCCTCAGACAACCTTCGTAGGGGAGAGAAAAACAAATTCCCAGAATACTGGGAATATACCTATGAAGAGAAAAATTGTATGTTATTCTGCTCTACTTTCCATTAGAAAAAGGCTGGCTGTACAAACTCGATTCATCACTTCAGTTCTGGGTAAGGAAGTAATTGCTTTTAGCGTTTTAACTCTACAATATCAGACTAAATGAATTTAGGTGTAGAATGATGTAGACATAGATAGCAGACCATTTTAAAGGCTAACACATGACATAAAACTTTAACACATGAACACTAACAAACACATAAAACTTTACAATATTAAACAGCTGGAGACGTATTTCCTCTAATAATTGCATACTAATGACAAAACTTGCAAAACTAATGACAAAAAGGACTGAAGTTACAAGGCTCAAATCTCCTGAATGAGAAAAGATGCTCCTTCCCTTTCTCCATCAAAAGTGCTGATATTTTCAAACATATTCTTAACTATATGTTAAAACAGTGTTTTCCCATTGAAAAAATTTCTAATGCTATGCTAGAATTATAATGTTTATATATATATATAATGTTTATAATGTATAAAAATAATTATATTATTATAATTAGAATTATAATAATATGATATTATAATATATTAGAATATATTATATTAATTATAATAATTATAATTAAAACGGGAAAGTTCTTGAGCCTATTTCAGTAATAATTTATACGTCAATTAAATTCACAGTTTGGAGACTTTCCTTAAAATCTAGTTTGACTTTTCTCAAAAATCAAATACTTTTACTGGAGACCCAGCAGCAAATGACTGGTTAGCTGCTAGGACTGTAACATTTGGGGTCAAGGAACAATAATTCAGGACATCTTTTGATCCCTGGAAGTCAGTTGAGTTTACTTTGAAATTGGCCTGTATTTTGTTCAGACATAAAACTTCCACCACAATCCTTCTGGATTACTTTCAGCCTTATTTAACTTAATGCTGTTCTAATTCCTGGTAGTACACAGCATTTCCTACTATCTGCAGTGAAGAGCTTAGGTACATTCAGATGTTTTTGGGAAGGCAAGATCAAGGTTTTCAGGCTTCCTAGCTCACTTTTTTAAGGATTTTCTGTTCCTGTTGACTGATTATTCCTGTAAAAGATGTGCTTATGCTATGAAAGCTTGAATCTATCAAAACCTTCAAAGAGTACCAGACACTTACCTCACTCAGGAGAAGATCAAAACAGCTGCAACATTTTGATTAAACAATAATAAAGTTTTGAGATGAAAAAAACCCATATTTCTTGGAATCCCTCTTTTACCTTAGCGTCTGTGAAAAATGTAATTCCTTGACTGATGTTCACACACACATATGCATGCTATACATACACTGTGCATTACTTGAGCAGTATCTATTATTTTTTTTTCACCTTCAAGTGAACATTCAATGTTTAAACATAATCTGCGAAGAAGAAGAATGGTAACAAAATATTTCATCTACAAGTATATTAGAAATTTCCTGCAGTATATAAAAAAATCATTGATGAAAAGTAGAAAAGACAAATTAACTGTACCATTTATTCATCTCATTCCTGTGATAGATATGTCTGCGTACATGAGAAAAAGAAAGAAAGAGCTTTTTAGCTTCTACATGATTTAATTTTTCTGTCTTTTCTTGTCAGATTTTGAAATTGTAATATATCACAGAAACAGTATCATCTCCTTTGATAATTCCTCAATATTATTCTATGATTGCTCCCTTTATGTTTAAATAAGGGAGCTTGTTTCTCACTCTGTGTCCCATATATCTAAGGTTGAGTTCTTTTATCTCTAATAGAACAGTTTACACTGGAAAACTACTCACCTGTCCAGCAGTGTCTAGAATGTCCAAATAGGCTGGTTCATCATCAATTCGGACTTGAGTTTTATAGGCATCCTCTGAAAAAAGCACAATGCAACACATAGGAATGGCTCAGAGAAAAGCAAAAAAAGTAGCTCTTCTAACCTGGAGTAGACTTTCTAAAAACTCTCCTGTTTGAACTAACTTTTCTTTCTTTTCAGTAACTAATACCTTTTCCAAAATCCTAAAATAGTGAAAAGCATTACCCTTATCTTTTCTATTGCACTATTTCAAAGTAATGTAACAGTAAATTTACCTGGATTTAAAAGCATAGTTCACACCACACTGTTGCTTGAGTCACCAATATTCAGGGTCTCTATTCTGGTGCTAGGCATCAGCTTTCCACAGAGCCTTTCCAGCAAATAATTTCAAGAAAAAACTTTGTCTGAATTACTGAAAAAGTCTCCCTGTAGCTGATGGGGACTTCTGGATCAGATTTCCTGGAACAATTAATTAGACACTGCGTATGTCTGACCAGGATGTAAATCAATTTTTTAAAAATAAATTCTGTAGTCAGAGTCTTCACATTCAGCACTGCTTGAAAGGGAAAAAATATGTTTGTTGGACCATGCCCCTAGGTCATGCTTTTGTCAAGATAAATTTGGAAACTGAAAAACAAAACAGAAGATCTACTATTTGCAGAAACCATTTTCCTCACATTTCAATTTCATTCTACTCTCAATATTTGTGTTTCCCTCCTAAGATTAAACACAGCTCAGTAATCAGGCCATGTTTGTACTTGAGTCTCACAAATTATCTATTCTGTCTAATTAAGCAGTAATGCATAGCAATTTGAGTGATTTTGGTTTGGCTACATACTGAGATGTGAAGACAAGACAAGTGAATTTAATGTATTTGAGAAGTGCCATTAATCAATATGAATATATGGTTGACCATGTCCAACAGCTCACTTTGCAAGCCCTGTCTGAAGAGGTCTCTGAAGACCAGGGTCCCAGTGGGATTAATCAGAAAGTAGCAGGAATTCTCAAGACATTCAAATTTGTGCCATACGTTTCATATTTTATACAACACTTTATAAAAGTATGTAAAAACCCAGTCTGTATCTACATGAAGAAAAAAAAAAAAAAGCTAAAATATGAAGTATTATGTATGTCATTACCTTGGTTCACTCCTGCATCGCCACTGACAGGCTATCTTTAATGACATAATCATGTACAGTAATTTCCATGAATCTCTTGCCTCTTTAGGCCTGAGTTCAGCAAATTACTGACATGGAACATGTATTGTTTTAAACAAATACTACTGATCATCCCACTGATATTATGATGACCCAGAGGCTTAATTAAATGCATGATACACTGTCTTACTGAGAAAGCCAAAGCACTCCAACCAGCATGTGTTTCAGTCAATAGATCTCTTTATAGGTATTACTGAATAAGAACTTTAATATAAAAAAAGAACCATATAGATTGAATTAGACTGCTTAGGTTATTTAATCTGTTTTGGCACAACAAGGATGCATGCAGTAATTTACTTTTTTATTTTTAACTAAAAATGAAAATTATATGCACATGGAAACATATACTATCAAACATGATTTTTATTTAATATAAATAATATGACAAATATTAAAAAATTATATTTATATGCAGGTGGGTGTCCATTTGCATTGCATTCATTTTTATGTAATTAACATATAACTCACATAAATTTAGCTTGAAGTCTTTGCTCAAGATCAAGGGAAGTGAGTTCATATCCTGATACCAGATAATAGATCATAGCACACACTCATGGCCTAGCAGGTTCATAATCTTTGAAGCAGATCTTACCATTTACCTGGTTTATTTGTTGATCTCCTGGGCTATTAGGATAATCTTTATTTTCAGCATAGGATATATGATTCATAAATCAAAAATCATGCTTCCCATCCTATGCTGTATGGAGTTGGAAGAAAAGGTAAGAGTGGAAGAGCTGTACCATTTAGTTCAGAAATACAGTTCATTCTTAAAATGGAATTTCATCTGAGGAGGTAATGGAAAGAGATCAGAGTAAAGGATGATGTTGATAGATGTCTTTATTTTACTCAACTGAACTGATGAGCATAGGCAGATCCAGAATTACACACATATCCATATACTGAACTCAATCAATATATTCCTATTCATAATTATAATGCTAAACATTATAGCTGTATCTTTACTGTATGCAATGTAATACATATTACAGTCATAATAAGGAAACTGAGAAACCCTAAAATCAGAAAGGAGCACATTCTTTTTATGTGGAATGAGAAGAAGGGAAGACGCAGCACTGACATACAATCTCTTTGCATAGGCAAAGCAGGAAAGCCTTCATAAGGAGCATTAGTAAATTTGCTGTCTAATCTTATCTCTTTGAAAAATCTTTCATTATTACAAATACTGTCTGGTATATTTACACTCTTCATCATCTTTGAGTACATTACATTTTCTTTCATCTAATTAATTTATACAGTATTCCATTTAAAGATAATTGGTAGCTATTAGATCATGTATATTTGGATTTTACATCCTTCAGCCCTAAGGAGTTATCCTTTTAAAATTTATTTAAACATAAAACCATCTGGAGTTGCAGAAAAATAGTAGAACAAGTTTGTTTGTTTGTTTGTTTGTTTGTTTTTAAAGAAAAAGAGAGAGAGAAAAAAAATAATAATAGCACATCAGACAGTTAATCACATGGAAGCACAGAATCACAGAATGCAATAGAAGGGATCTCAAAGATCTCCTAGTTCCAAGACCCATGACTCATGCTCTTAGCATGGTTGCCTATCATTAGATCAAGAGCTAGATCAGGATACCCAGTGCCCCATCTAGCTTGGCCTTAATCAGACTAATTTTATTGTATTAACTTGAGTAGAAATCTTCCTTTGAAACTAATTGAAAGGTCTCAAATTTTGGTTTCATTAAAATGCAGCAGATAGATAGGATATTATAAGAAATAATAAGGATGCAGCCTATTTTTATTGTTATGATTTACAGTAATTCAAATACAGAATGTAAGAGTAAGCATTTCCAAGATATCAAAGAAAAAAGAAAATCTGTGTCATTGTGTAGTTTATGTAACAGTTAACTAATTTGTTAAATGAATAGTTAAAATACATATCAAAACCTCTGTTTTTAAAATATGTTTTTTTCCATACAGAAAGATCAAACTGAGCTCCATCTATTTTATAATTGACATTTAATTATGTTATTATTATTTCCTCCTTTAATGAATATCTCATTTAAATCAATAAATTTAAATTGATTGTTCTTTTTAGCTTTATTAATAAGATAAAAGAAATAAAAGGTTGTTTAAGCCTTTTTTTTTTTTAAGAAAGTGAAAATATTTTTTTTTTCATCTTTCATTTTTGAAGGACATCTCTTTGGAGACAGAAGAACAATAATTAATGTAGGCTTGTGTTACTCTCATTTATTTTAGCACAGGAGAATCTAGATTCATTAAAAATGTATCAAAGCTCTTTTTCTGCTATGAGCAGGTAACTTCTTCATGACAAATAGATTTGGTTGGTGTGCAGTTTAAAGGAATGTTGCAATAGGCTTTTTTTCTGCATCACAGACATATCCCAATCCCTGAAAAGTAGGTCAGTAGCTTCCTCCTTTCATTTGTTAGTTCTGCTTCTATGACTTCTAGATAAACATTCTATCTACTAGACTGAAGATTATCTCATATACAGATCAGCCAAGGTATATTTTATTTGGCTAAAAAGATGACAACAGAAGGAAGTCCAAGCTCAGTCACACCTGGAATTCTGCCTCTTGTTGTCCTCCTTGTATGTCAGAGAGATAGCAGGGACTCAGATCTTGTTGTGCTTATATTATCTGCTACATATGCGTTTTAATTCAGGAATGCTTCTGAATATAAAATGATTATTAGTCATTTGCTATTTACATTCTCTTTCTGCTTACAACAAGGAATTTTCAAATACGAAGAGAGTGGACAAAGAAAGATCTAAACCACTGTACCAGCTACTACATGTATGTGCTTGTTTGAGATAAAAAATATTAATGTCACAGTAATTGGCCATCAGAATCTATTGGTCTCATGACTTTCTTTGTCATGTGTCAATGGTTCATGGGCAGTTTGGCCCTGTTGCATGACTAGCGGGGAGGAGGGTTAGGGTTAGGGTTATGTGTATCTGTGTCCCAGGAAAATGGAAAAAAAGAAAAAGAGAATCAGAGAAAAAAGGAAAAAGGGTAGAGAGATGGACCCAAAAACAAAGCAACGGCCATCATCTGAGGAGAAACAAACTATTTTACTAAATAACATATTGGAATGCAAGATAACACACTATAATACAATATAATACAATATAATTAGAATTGAAACTAATAAATCAAATTAAATGAGAGTGTCCAAAAGCCAAAGGCCTTACTCTCATGCTGTGATGATATGGCATATAACAGAGGCGAGCCAGATGATCGAAAAAGGGCCATCAGGTGACCTACGAAGGGCTTTTATCATCTCCCTCTGAGCAGAAATAATAACAGAACAGCGAACAGTCCTCTGCGGAATGTAGTAGTTCTCTTCCAGGACAGGTGGCTGGACCTGGAGCATTAAGTCTTCACCTCCTGTGCACTGCATGATGTTATCATGTGGAATACTGATAACCAAACATCATAAAACCACGGCATTTTGAAATTGTGCTCCTGGAGTAGGAGTGTTCTCTAATTTGGTAGAGCATTGATATCAGCAGTTTGTAGTCAGTGACAGTAAGTCACTTGCCGTTGCCTTCCTGTGAGTTCTACACATAGAGGAAGCAATGAATAGCTTGGAAGTGTAGAACAGACAGATTTGATCTGTAAATACTAATGTAGATAGCAATATTCTTTAAATACAGCAAATAGGAAAACTGGGCACTCACATACCACATCAGACTAGTAACTATGATACTGCAACACCCTATTTCCAGTTCTTCCTAGTGTTACTTAATTCCATTATACCAACGGTGAAGAATACTTCAGATTATTTCTTCCAGCCCTGCTGTTTTTTATTTTCAACATTGAAACACATTTGATGGTAATCTGTCATTTTTTTA